GCCACTGAGCCACAGCCCCTCCCCAGGTTATTCTCACTATTTATAAGAGTATACAATGTGATTCAGCTGTAAGAGAGCACTCAGAACTGCAGCTGTTAGCTTCGGGGAACCAGGTATTATAAACCTTCATAGCTATTTTCAGGATGTCATAAAAATATACTCCAACATCACATTTGTGCGACTACAATTTACTTTTCTCTCTCCAAAACACTGGCCTATCTGAACCACTGATGCTGCTTTTCCATTCAAAGAGAACTGATTCAGGAACTGGGTCGACTCCCTTGGGGGAAAAAAAGACTGTTGGCTTGGATCAGTTCCTGAGCTGCTCCACCCACCACCAAATGGCATAAACTGTTTTGTCGTGCCCCCCCAACAACAGGCCCTGCTGAAGTGAGCAGTCTTCTAAATTTATGCTCTTGTCTGAACGTATTGTATAAAAACTCCTTAATTGTTCTCGCTGCTGATCAGATACCAGTTACATTCCTTTCAGCACGTTTATTTTCAGCCTGCTGTGAGTCACTTACAAACCCAGTGGTCAGAGGAACAGAGATGCTTATGCTTATTTCATAAACTGCACATTTCTTCTAAGGGAGATGCTTCGGTAATGCAAGATTTTAAGTAGAACTATGTCCTTTTCCCCTACAAGACATGTCCGGTTTCCAAAAAAGTTGCTTATCAGGTTTTCAGAAGCTGCACACAAAATTTAGTTTAAAATCTGCACCACAGGACGATGAACTTCTTAACAGGTATGTGTGTGTTAAGTGCCATCAAGTTGCTGGCACTATGAATTTAAGATGGGTAGCCAATGTTAGTCTGTCTGTAGCAGTAGAAAAGAGCACGAGTCCAGCAGCAGCTTAAAGACTAACAAAATATTTGACAGGGTAGGAGCTTTCGTTAGTCACTGCTCACTTCTTCAGATACAGCTAGAATGGGAGTCCATCTGTCCTATTTATTAAAAGTGAAGTGATTTCAGATGCCGAATGACATTAGCAGGCAAATTACTGTAGCAGGTGAATAACAGTAGCAGGTGTGATTGGATTTAGGCGAGATATGCAGAGGGGTAACAGGTGTGGACAAATCAGCATTGGTACTAAGACAGGAAACCTAGGTCTCTATTCAATCCAGGTGGATTCGTTGTCTTGATATGGTGAGAAAGATGATTGGAAAAGCCAGAATGATACCCAGGGACAGCTTGCTACAAGACAAGCCGAAGGAGAATAACAACAGAACACCACTGTTGGCCACCTAAAACTCACAACTCAAGTCAGTTCAACGCATTATTAATGACCCACAACCCATGCTGGATAGTGACACTTCCCTCACACAGACACCGGGGGGGGGGGGCGCACCTTTGCTGGCTTCCGACAAGACAACTTCTCACCTGCAATGACAAACTACTTAACAGTCACATGGACTCTGGCACGAAGGCCTGCAACAAACCAAGATGCCAACCTTACTCTCCTATAGATCCCAGCAACACCATCACTGGACCCAGCAACATCAGCCAGACCATCTCAGGTTCATACTCCTGCTCATCCCCTGATGAGATGTATGCCACCACGTGCCAGCAATGCCCTTCCACCCTCTACGTTGGAGAAACAGGCCAGTACCTACGACAAAGAATTAATGGACGTAAGCCTGACATTAGAAACTGCAGCATTCAAAAACCAGTGGGGGGACATTTCAACCTTCCAGGACATTCAGTCACTGACCTAAAAGTAGCAGTTATCTTGCAAAGACATTTCAAAGGGATATTAGAAAGAGAGATTGCTGAACTGCAACTGATAATGAAGCTCAAGACAATGCATCCACCTGGATTGAATAGAGACCTAGGTTTCCTGTCTCATTTGCAATGCTGATTTCTCCACACTGTTGCCTAAAGGTCCTGCCTTACCCATGGGTAGCCCTAAATAGCAGGGCACCCCACTTCTGACCTGAACCAGAGACCCACAAAGTCAGGCCAAGGAAGGAAACACAGAGCTAGTCAAAAGTTCTGAAAAAGGGTGTAATTTCAGGTGGCACAAGGCAGCCCACCGAGGCAACCTCCAACCTCCCCCTCCACCCAGCAGAGGTGTGCATAAAGAATAACAATGGGTTCCTCCAGGTACAGTATCTACATTTCTAAAGACTATTCAGAGGCCACCTGGCACATAGCTCCTCTGTCTCCAAACCCTCAAGTAACCCTTTCGTGTGACTGCTATGTCCATGTGGGAATCCCTTATTTCCACCACTGTCTTTCCTGCTCCATCCCTTAGGATACTGAGATAAACCAACCAAACATTCAAAAGTTTAGCCATCCTTCCTGAAGCTAATCTGGGACCCATCTCCCACCTTTTGTATAAACCCGCCTTGGCAGGACCATCAGTGGTCATCAAACCCATTCAGCTAGCTCCAGTAGAGCCATCCAGCACCTCGGTCGGGCTGTCAACTCCCGACTCTTGAAGGTGTGCCTCTGTCACCAGCACAAACCGTCAAGAGCCTGGGTGCGACTCTGGACTCCTCCTTGTCTATGGAGGCCCAGGTTGCGAAGGTTGCCAGGCTGGCGTTTCTCCAACTGTGCCAGGTTAGGCAACTGGCTCCCTACCTGTCTCACCCCGACCTAGCCATGGTGATCCATGCAACGCTCACCTCCAGGATAGACCACTGTAATTCGCTCTACATGGGCCTACCCTTGCACCTGACCCAGAAGCTCCAACTGATCTAGAATGCAGCCACACAGGTCCTTACTGGAACCCCCCCCGGACAGCACACATCCAAACAGTGTTACGCGAGCTGCACTGGCTTCCAGTGGAGCACCGGATCAGGTTCAAGGTCTTGGTTTTGATCTTTAAGGCCCTTAACTGTCAGGGACCTACATACCTTCGGGACCAGCTCTCTCAGTATGCCCCTGGAAAAGTGTTTTGCTCAGAAAATAAGAACTTCCTAGTGGTCCATGGCCCGAGAAAGATCCGTCTGTCCTCGACCAGGACCAGGGTTTTTTCGGCCCTGGCCCCCACCTGGTGGAACTCTCTGCCGGAAGACATCCGTGCCCTGCGGGAGCTATTACCTTTCCACAGGGCATGTAAGGCAGAGGTGTTCCGCCAGGCATTTGCTTGAGGCAGCAGTGTGGGAGGACAGTATGACATCTGCACTCTCATACATTTCCCCATCCCTGACAACCCCTCCCCCCAAGGATGCTAGGGGAGCTGATTTTTCCGCCATCTGGTATATCTATTCTGTCTCTATATATTGATCTGTTTTTATTGGTTTAAATGTTGCTTTAAACCAAGGATTTTGTTATCGCTCTGTTGTAGGCCGCCCTGAGCCGTACCTGTAGGGAAGGGCGGCCTAGCAAATCTAATTTAATAAATACAATAAATAAATACATAAGTAGAGAGCCAGTTTGGGGTAGTGGTTAAGACGAGCAGGACCTCCTTCTCCCCCTCCCAGCACTCCTTTGTGGCGCTGAGCGAACAAGCACTTTTTAAGGAGAATTCCCCCGATGAACATCCGACCATAAGTCCCGTCAACACACCTGTGACTCAACACATGCCGGGCGTCTTGCGGAATTATGCCCTCGGCTGCTTGCTTTTTGACCTGTGGCCCTCCTGCCTGCACAACTGTGCCGGCCAGGACAGAAACTGGACAACGGCTACTGCTGTGTCCCCCCCCCCCCCCCCCCCCCACACCTGGCAGTTTTCTGTCTCCTGAAATAATTTCCAACTTCAGTATCCCACGAGAGAAAAAACACTGGGGTAAAATGGCGGGAAGGGAATTTGGGCAAAAGAAAGTTTCAGTGCCTTTCTTCCTGTACCTTTTCAGAGCTCAAAATGGCCCCCACCCTCCCACTCTAGAGCAATTTGGCAGCAACCAATGCTCGCTCTAAGCCGTGGAGTCTTGTGAGCAAAAATTCTACTTTGTGAGCTACTGGCATTAAAGCTGTGAGGGAGGGATTTGGCTGCCTCATCAATTAGTTTGCTCTGGAGCCATTCTTCCTGAGCTAAGACAAAAATGTGTGAGCTGGAGGCTAAAAAACTGTGAGCTAGCTTACACTAAGGGAACACTGGCAGCAACCCAGTTCTAATGAACAGGTCTCCCCTTTGCACCTCAGAAGCCTCAGTGGGCCCGACAGCGCTCATTACATCACCCTTCTCAGTTATGGCCAAAATAAACAATTGCTTATAGGAGGGGAAACCTTTGACATTTTACACCCGCTGCTGTTTTCATACTGGATGTTAATTGCTTTCCCAGCATGATAGCTCTGAGCTGTAAACTTCTCTGCAACTAGAACCTAAGGGGAACAGGGTTTTTTGTTGTTGTTGTTATTTTACCACAAACTGTATTTTACAAAAATCTTGCTTCTGGCATAAGCGATCTCTGCGGACTATTCCAAAAGTAAGCGAGCCCTCCTGTAGCCGCTTGAGCCAGAGGGTGTATGAGCTGAAGTTCACTGGGCAGTATAGGAGACGAGGATTTTGCTTTTAAAGAGCGGGGAAAGCATCACAAGGGAAGAGAGTGGTTGTTGCGCCCCTGGAGGCAACACTCGACGTTCCAGCTGTTTGCTGCAGCACATTAAAATGAAATCAGCCACACGCTCCACATTAGCAAAAGGGCCAGGCTCAACATTCTGTTTGAACAGCGAGATACGAGAATAAGAATAACGAAATAACAGAGTCATGATTTATTGAGGCCTGACTTGAGACCTTTGGTCAAACGAGTCGATCACTAAAGGAAAAGAATACATCAACGAAAAAATCCCAGTCCAGTAGCACCTTAGAGAGAGAGGAGAGGAGAGATTGGATTTATACCCCGCCCTTCACTTGGGAGTCTCAGAGCGGCTTACAAACTCCTTTCCCTCCCCATCCCCACAACAGACACCCTGTGAGGTGAGTGGGGCTGAGAGAACTCTGACACAAACTGCTCTTTTTTCAAGGACAGCTGTGCCAGAGCTTGTGACTCACCCAAGGTCACATCAGCAGGTGCAAGTGGAGGAGTGGGGAATCAAACCTGGTTCTCCCAGATTAGAGTCCGCACACTTAACCACGACACCAAACTGGCTAGAGACCAAGATGATTTTTTTTGGGGGGGGGGTGAACTTTTGGGAGTCAAAGCTCCCTTTGTCAAATTTGCTTTGACTCTCCAAACCTCATACCCCCCCCCCAAAGTCTTGTTGGCCCCTAAGGGGCTACTGGGCTGGAATCGAGCTCTTTCTACGGCAGACCGACAGGTCTGCCCTCTGGAACATTCTATTTGACAGGCACATTCTCTGCGGCTTGCAAAGGACAGAAACGCCTGCTCGAGTAACGGTGTTCGGTGTCCAAAGCATTGTACCTTCTATTCACTAATGGCCCAGATTCAGTAAAAGACTTCAGACCCCTGGCTAAACTTTAAAACGGAAAAGAGCTGAATGGGGTACGGCAATCTGTAACACTACAAATGTGTCTTGCCAACTTCAAATTAAGGACAAGGGGATCAGAATAATAAGGGGACAAAATTCTGGGGGGCCTGGTCACCTGGGGGGGGGGGCACGAACCCAGGCAAGTTGTGGGATTTGCTTCTGTAAGTTGTTTGAGTTGGGTATAGGCAGTGGTGGTGGGGTTGGGGGAACCTTTTGTCTGTCAGTCTGTGGAGTAGGGCTGTCAGACCCCCTGGTGGAGGCAGGGCCCTGTACCGCAGCCACTGGTCAGCTGGCAGGCAGGGGGACTTAGAAAGAGAAAGGCCTAGACTTTGCTGCCGCCACACAGGAAGTGATGTTGTCATGCCAATGACGTCCGGGCAACGCTCTGGTATTTGGGTAAAAATTCTATGGCTGAAGCCAATTTGACCATAGAATCTTTGCCCAAATACCAGAGTGTTGCCCAGACGTCACTGGTGTGATGATGTCACTTCCTGTATGATGCCGGCGACGAGGCCTGGGCCTTTCTCTTTCTCCTGGTAAGTCCCCCCCATCCCCCGCCAGTTGCCAGGCAACCCAACTGTCATGGCTCTCAGCTGTCCTGTGTGTTCCTTAAAGCGAATGAGGATGCCAGTCAGCACAGATGCAAGATTTTGCCTTTGCTTAACTTCAGTAGAAGAAGAAGAAGAAGAAGATGGATTTATACCCCGCCCTTCACTACCCGAAGGTGTCTCAGAGTGGCTTACAAACTCCTTTCCCTTCCCCTCCCCACAAGAGACACCCTGTGAGGTAGGTGGGGCTGAGAGAGCTCTCCCGAGAACTGCCCTTGAGAGAACAGCTCTGAGAGAACTTGCAACTGACCCAAGGTCACACCAGCAGCTGCATGTGGAGAAGCGGAGAATCAAACCTAGGTCTCCCAGATTAGAGTCCACACATTTAACCACTACACCAAATTAACACACCGCTGCATTCTCCTCTGGAACCGCACGTTGTTTCCACTCACCTGTCCAGTCGGATGATCGGAGTAGGCAATACACATGTTAAAAGCCAGCCAAACTCAGCCAACGTGTGCAACAGAGGACCATAATCTGTTTTGATCTCACTGCCCTGTATTCAGAAACAAAGAGATGGGTTACTTCTTGAGAGTCTGAACCTGCATTTCCCCATGCAAAATAGCCGGTTGAAGTATCTGCTATATGACTGATCTTGGACTTGCATGCTATGTCTCCTGCCCGACATAACCAAGACGAGAGGAGATCTCCTGTGGTTTCCTAGGAGTTCAAATGAGGCAGAATTTGGGAGGGGGGGAAAATAGGGTTGAGGACGGTGAGCTGAGGTTGTTAATGCTTTCTTCTGCAGTATTTGCACGGGGGTTAGGGCGGTATATCAAATCGAAGTAATAAATAAATAAATAAATATATTTCCCCGATTTGCATTGCCCGCGACTGAATAAAAGGGATGTACGTAACAAGTTCTCATTACTGGCTTTGACGGCTTTATTGGACTGAACCAGACAAGAAAATTGTCTGTGTGGAGCAATAAAATGTTATTTTCTTACTGCAGGATATTAGATCACGCACAAAATTGTTAGTGTGTGGGACAACTATTCACCCAGAACAAAGTTTGAGTCCAGTGGAATCTTGAAGACCAATAAAGTTTAATTCTCTGGGTATAAGCTTTTGCGTACATGCACACAACAGTTTATACCCAGAATGCATCTGAAGAAGCATGCATGCAACAAAAGCTTATGCCCAGAATTAAACTTTGTGGGTCTTAAAGGTGCCACTGGACTCCAACTTTGTTCTGTTGCTGTAGACCAACATGGCTACCCACCGGAAATTGTTCACCCAGTTAAAAGTTTCCTCTGAAGCGGCCATAGTGCTTTCACGGCTATTTTTGCTGCTGAAGAGGCAAGCCTTTCAAAATGCAAACGGCAAATGGCCTCTTCAGCAGTGGGAGTGAACACAGGGTCCTTAAAGCACCCTGTGAGATTAGGGCACCTTGACTAGAAACAAAACATAAACAGGAAGTTTACCTCAATGACAGTCCACTGTTCTACGACTATTGTATCATTTCCTTTCCTGTTGGAACCTGGGACTCCCGAGCCTTCCTCTTCATATATAAACAAGCCTTCTAACGATTTGGATAGGTGATCAACTGGGCATAGTGGAAGAAAATAAAACAAATGGCAGAAACATTAAACATTTAGCAACTGCAAACTTCTGAGTTCAAATTAAGATTCCCCCCCCAATAATCTCTAGTTCCAGCTCCTACCAAACTAGCAATTCGAAAGCAAGAAATTGCAAGTAGATAAATAGGTACCACTTCGGTGGGAAGGTAACAGTGTTCCGTGCGCCTTGGTGTTTAGTCATGCCGGCCACATGACCACGGAAACGTCTTCGGACAGCGCTGGCTCTTCGGCTTTGAAACGGAGATGAGCACCGCAACCCTAGCGTCGGATTCGACTGGCTTTCGAGCAAGGGAACCTTTACCTTTACCTTCTACCCAATAAGTTTAGCCCACCTCTTATTTTATGACTGTCTACAGGGACTGCCCAAGAATCAGACATTTCTAAAAACTAGAAACTTTCCACTGATCTCCATCCTCAGCTTCGGGGAAAGGCCCACAAGCTACAAAAAAACAGAACACACCACATGTCCCTCTGCCACAGGGGAAACCCAGCTTCCTTAAGGCTCTGGAGTTCCCTATGAGGAAAGGTTAAAGTGCTTAGGGCTCTTTAGCTTGGAGAAATGACGACTGAGGGGTGACATGATTGTTTATAAGATTATGCATGGGATAGAGCAGGTAGAGAAATAGGTACTTTTCTCCCTTTCTCACAAGACAAGGACTCGTGGGCACTCCATGAAATTGCTGAGCGGTCGGGTTAGAACAGATAAAAGGAAGAGAACAGAAATCCATCAGCCTTACGAAGAAACTTGCGTAAGGTACCTGAAGAAGTGAGCAGTGACTCAGGAAAGCTCCTCCCCTGCCACAAATTTGGTTAGTCTTTCAGGTGCTCCTGGACTCTTGCTCTTTTCTGCTGCTACAGACAGACTAACACCCATCTTGAGCTGTCTCCATGGAAGGCACCACATTAGCCAAACAGAACAGAAATCCATCAGCCTTACGAAGAAACTTGCGTAAGGTACCTGAAGAAGTGAGCAGTGACTCACGAAAGTTCATCCCCTGGCACAAATTTGGTTAGTCTTTCAGGTGCGCCTGAGTCCGGGACTCTTACTGGACTTTCGACCTTTTCTGGTGCTGGATTTGGTGTTTGATGTGAGTGTCATTAGAGTAGCAAAGGTGGGGGGAAGCAGAGATCCCTCCACAGCAGAAGGAAGCCTGCCAGATCTTGTATGTCAGTAGGAACCCTTTCTGAATTGGTTTCCAAACTGTCCACATGCCTGAAGCTCTGCTCCAGCATACACTGCCCATTTCGTTTCCCCAGATATACAAGAAGGATAATACCCGTGTTTACACAAAAGGAAAACAGCCCTTAGTGTAAGATGACCCCCCCAAAATGTTATTTATATATATATATAGATGACCTCCTATTTGGCAGTGCAACTGGGAAAAAAAGCCTCCTCTCCCTTTCGGGTAAGGAGTAATACTTGTGATCGTATTCCACCCCCTAGAAAATCTGATGTTTCTCCTATACTTATCTCCTAACTAGGAATAAAGCCCGTTGTGGAAATAAATACAACGAGATCTAGAAAGAGGCTCTGGGGGAGTGCTCTGGCTTTGGGCAAACAGTGTCAATTTGCTGTGGTGACCTCAGCAGGGTATGACAGAGTCCACTGTTTTCTCCAGAGGAACTGATCTCTGCTACCTGAAGAGCAGTTGTAATTTTGAGTGATCTGTAGCCCTCACCTGGAGATTGGCAACAATTGTTACCCAGGACGAAATGGCTGGTTTGGAGGGTGGAGTCTATGGCATTCTACCTGTCTGAGGTCCCACCCCTCTGCAAACCCCACCCTCTCCAGGCTCCACCCCTCAAATTCCCAGGAATTTGCCAGGCTGGAGTTGGCAACCCCATCTCCTTCCCAGGAGCAATTTTAAATTGCTGTGGTTGAGCTACGAACGATAACTGTTAACTACTCTTTATGACCTCTTGTTTTTGCTTCCTTTTCATACCCCTTTTTGACTATGGCATTCTTTGTACACTTTACTTCATCCCAGACCCTAAAATCTTGACAATTACCTGTTGTTTTCTTCTGGCTGTACCCTATTGATGGAATTCTTTGCCCCTGGATATATTGCACTCACCCCTCCACAGGGGGTAGCTGGGGATGTTTATTTGGTCAGAAACATGTCCCCTTGACTGACAAGCAATGCTCCCTCTAAGCTGTGGAGTCTTGTGAGCAAAAATTCAACTTTGTGAGCTACCGGCATTAAAGTTGTGAGCGAGCCATTTGACTGCTGCATAAATGAGTTGGCTCTGGAGCCCTCCTTCCTGAGCTAGGACAAAAATGTGTGAGCCGGAGGCTAAAAACTTAGCTGGCTCACGCTAACTCATCTTAGAGGGAACACTGCTGTCATGATCTGTGCTGTGCCACCAGAGGCCTACTAGGCCCAGGGAGCCTGGCTAGCAGTAGGTGAGGCTGGGCCTACAACTCCCAGAAGCCCGAGAGGTTTTGAAGCCAAAATTGACCAATAGGAAAAGAGGAGGGCTTGGAATAAAAAGATCTGGAGCAGCAGAAAAAGGGAGGTCTAAAGGCCTGGGAAGGTGCTCTGGGCCTTCTCAGAGGAGCCTGGAACCAGAGTGGTGGCAGCGTCAGGTGACACCCCACCTGAGCCGTGACAACTGCTGACAAGGCCTCTCAGCCCTCCATAAGATAAAGGGGAGTACAGTCTATTTGGCAAAGGGTGTGCCTCAGAGCGGAGTGGGGGGTCAGAGTCTGAGCGATTTTTGCCACCTAATCCCTTAGTAGAAATACAAATTTTAAGCAGGAAAAATATTTCTTGTTGCAGCATCGAAATATCTGCGTGTGCCTCTGCCCTCCCAGTCCTGATCACTCATTTCTCCTGTTATACAACAGTGACTCAGTAGCATGGCCTGCCTCGTTTCCGAGCTCCTTTAGCGTTCTGAATGAAATCATACTTTCCACCCCATTTCCCAGGAGCACAGAGGGGTGATGTTGTGACCCTCACCTTTAGAAGCCTCCCAGTATACAAACGAGTCGATTAACGACAGTCCTTGTTTGTAATAATACGTGGTTAATTCTAGCCAATCGGCATCCAGAGTACTAATCACGGGGCCTTTCCTTGTCACTTTGAGAGATAAAACACCGTCGTGATACGTCCAGCAGGTAGAATCATCCTCAAACACGTTGAAGACAGTATACAGTTTGTTATCTGAGGAAAGACAGCGGGGACAGAAATCAGTCTGGAAAATGGTATATTTAAGGAACTGGATAAGAACATAAGAGAATCCATGTTGGATCAGGCCAATGGCCCATTCGGTCCAACACTCTGTGTCACACAGTGGCCAAAACTCTGGGGCCATCAGGAGTGTGCGCGCGCGCGCACACACACACATGTTGCTAATGATCAAAGCTTGCAGTGCCAGTGTCATTGGGTCCTACCATGCATTCGGTACACTTAACATGTCCCCCCATATTATGAGATCATGTGACTCTCCCATTTTTCACAGTGGCCAACAACACAGCAGAGAACCCCCAATTGCCGGGCAATATCAAAAACGGGGCTTCACAGCTGCTTGTCAGTTTCAAAAAGTAGTCCTGTCAGTTTCAACACTGGTTTCCCCCCCTTTGCCTGGGATCCTTTGTGCTCCCTTTCAGGAACTAATGCTAAAATGCATGAGCAAGACCTGAACCATGAAGATTTAAATGGGAGGTACTTGCTGGACGCTACTGTGCAACTGCAATAGGGCAATTGCATAATTTTTTTAAAAAAACTTTGTATGCCACCACCACCCCCACGTCACAAGTGAAGTTCCCACCCCGATTGAGAAAAGTGTGTTTCTTAAACTGTAGCTGCAGAATAAGTACACCGGAGGGAAAAGAATGGTGCGTCAGATGGACGGAGAATCTGAAGTCAAGCTTAAAGGCTTACTGCTTGAAAAATCTGCAGTCAGCTGCGTGTGCATGTTGGATCAGGCCAATGGCCCATCTGATCCAACACTCTTTGTCACGCAGTGGCCAAACCCAGGGGCCATCAGGAGGTCCACCAGTGGGGCCAAAACTCCAGAAGCCCTTCCACTGTTGCCCTCCCCAAGCACCAAGAAGACAGAGCATCACTGCCCCAGACATAACAACATAAGAGAAGCCATGTTGGATCAGGCCAGGGGTCATTTCCTGCAGGAGCGCGCAGGAGCGGAGCTCTGGCAGTAAAAAGCCCAGGGGGCAGGCACGTGCAACAAGCCCCACCCCCTGCTCCCAGCAGTCAGAGCAAGAAGCAGCCAGGTAAGTTGCAGAGCCCCCCCCCCCAGCTCAAAATAGTCCAGTGGCACCTTTAAGACCAAGTTTTATTCAGGTACAAGCTCTCCCTCCTCTGCGAGGACAGATCTGCATCCTTCTGACACACTTCCGGTGACGTCAGGGGGTGTGGCATATGCAAATAAGTTATGCTAATGAGTTATGCTAATGAGCGCCTGGACCTCTTTTTCTACGAAATGACCCCTGGATCAGGCCAATGGCCCATCTGATCCAACACTCTGTGTCACACAGTGGCCAAAACCCAGGTGCCATCAGGAGGTCCACCAGCAGGGCCAGAACTCCAGAAGCCCTCCCACTGTTGCCCCCCAAGCACCAAGAATACAGAGCCTCACTGCCCCAGACATAGTGTTCCATCTATACTGATGGACCTCTGCTCCATATGTTTATCCAGCCCCCTCTTGAAGCCGTCTATGCTTGTAGCCACCACCACTTCCTGCAGCAGTATAAGGCAGCGTCATGCATGACTCTAAAAGCACTGGCCAGTTCTGAACATGTTTAGATGGCAATGCCCCTTGCAAAATAATTGCTTTCTAAAAACTGGGTGGTGGTGGTGGTGCAGTTTGAAACAGTTACTCAATCCGTGTGGAATACGTAGCCAGTATTCTTACATACCTTCTCCTTTCCTTAATTTCATAGGCCCAGGGCTGCCTTCTCTTCCATCTTGAAAGTCAGAATCGGGACACGGTCGGCTGTCGGGATGAATTTCTTCTTCGATCCCACTCTCGGAGGACTGACCGCTCAGCGTCCCTCCGTTCCAGTTCTTGAGGTTTTCGTCGGAGCCGGGTCTCTGCTGTTCCTGGCTCCTCCTGCGCGGTGTCGGATCAGGCTCCATGCTTCCATCTGGGCTGGTGCCATTGCAGACTTGAGACTGAGGGCTTGGCTGTGTTATAAAGCCCACAAACTTCATCCCTCTCTTGGCAGCATCATTGATCTAAGTTGTTGACAGAAAGTGACGCTTTAATGGGGTGGACTTTGAAGTTGTGGACGAATGGTATGGCAAGGGCTACTTTGTATGTGTGCACTGGTCTATGGCCACAGAGAAAAATGTGTACGCTGGCGTGTAAAGCCAGCACATCTATATTTTGCCCTAAGCGCAACGTTGCTGCCTTACTGCAGCTTTCTAAAATATTGGCATCCAGTAAAACAGACACGTGGTTTTTGGCTTATGTTTTAATATTAGGGTTTTTAACAGCAACCCACCTTGAACAGGACTCTGAAGAGTTGGCACGGAAATATTCTGAATAAATGAACAGATAAATATTTGCAGTTTTTTCACTTCCCGGTTCTGGAAACTTTCAACTAAGCAAAGAAGCAATTGGGAGAAAACAGCACCGCCTTGACACTTGAGATATGGAGCGCTTTAAATTTTAACAGATTTTGAGTCCAGTGCCTACTACAACATCTTCATTAAGCTGCACGCTAATTTGCCGTTCATCAACGTAGAGGCATCTGCCTATATATATGAACCAATTAAGATGTGGCCAAAGTTAGGGATAACAGAGTAACTGTAAGCCGCTCAGAGACCCCCTAGGGGGTTCGAGCAGGGTAGAAGCCAAAAGTAATAATTAATAAATAAATAATAAAACCGTTAAATTCCACTTCAATGTACCTGAGGAAGTGTGCATGGACACGGAAGCTCATACCTTGAATAAACTTTTGTTGGTCTGAAAGCTGCCACTGGACTCAAAATTTGTTCCTTTAATGCACGACACCAGAGGTCTAGAAATTAAAACTTATCCAAGTGACACCTGAGAAAAAGCATCTAAAAAGGCCACTCACCTGCGGCTGATCCTATGCTAGCATTTGTGTATAGGGAAAGTGTTTGGGTTAGCTCCAAAGCAGATCTTGTGTGAGTTGGGAGGCCCTCCAAGTGTCTTACAAGCAAGGGGATGATTCCAACGCCCCCCTCCCGAAACCCTCTCCCACATATAAGCATGCAACAAACCGACAGTTTCAAATGAACAGCCCGATCCCAGTCCAGTAGCACGGCACCTGACAGACCAACAAGATATTTGGGGTAGAAGCCTCCCAGAGTCAAAGCTCCAGTTATCTGATGACGGGGGGCACTGGCTCTCCAAAGCCCTTGTTGGTCTCTCAGGTGCCACCTTTTGAAACAAGCTTAAAACGAAGCAGCAAAAACCCGCAAGCTGACGTCTCTCCCTACAGATCTCACACAATTCAACCTTGAACTGTACGTCCATCGGGGCCAGTCTAGATGTGACGGCATCCTCATGCCCACTACAGGGATACTGCTGATGTTTCAAAGTGGTTTTTGTTATGTACGAGACTTAAGGCAGCAGCTCTAATAAGTGATTCAGCTTTATTTAGCAAGGTAGGGACGAACACAAACAGGAGAGCGACAGGCTCTCTTTTAAACTATGCGGGCTGACATAGCCACGCCCCTGTGTAACAGTAATAACCAATCAAAACAGTAACGTAACAGCCAATAGGTTCATTTCCCTCCAGGGCTCTTCTAGTGTCCTGATTGGTCTTCTACGCAGAGAAGCCAATCAGGTTTCGCTATTTACAATACCAGAGATGGACAGGAGTGTAAGTCAAGCTCAGCTATTTATGTATAGGCAATACATAACAGTTTTTAAAAAGTCACAAGGGCCTGATCCTGATTGGGGCAGCAGCACAGCTGGCTTGAGGCTCTTGAGAGCCAGTTTGGTGTCGTGGTTAGGACCGCGGACTCTAATCTGGGAGAACCGGGTTTGATTCCCCAGTCCTCCTCCACTTGCAGCTGCTGGTGTGACCTTGGGTCAGTCACAAGTTCTCTCAGAGCTGTTCTCTCAAGGGCAGTCCTTGAAAGAGCTCTCTCAGCCCCACCTCCCTCATAGGGTGTCTGTCTGTTATGGGGGGGGGAAGGGAAAGGAGTTTGTAAGCCGCTCTGAGTCTCCTTCGGGTAGTCAGGGGTGGGGTATATATCCAATCTCTTCTCCGGTAGAAGGTGCCCACTGTACAGGGTTGCCAACCTCCAGGTGGGGCCTGGGGATCTGCTTTTACAATTGGCCTCTGGACTACAGAGATCAGTTTCCCTGGAGAAAATGGCTGCTCTAGAAGGTGGACTCTGTGGCCTTCTACCCTGCTGAGGTCCCTCCCCTCTCCAAACCCCGCCCTCCCCAGGCTCCACCCCCAAAATCTCCAGGCATTTCCCAACCTAGACTTGGCAACTCTACGACACCTCACATCAAATTTCTGTACACAACAAACTCGATTGAAGGAATTGCAAGAACGGCCTACCTTCTCTAACAGACCCTTCACCTCCTCGTTTGTGAGGGTTTCGTACGCCAAAGGACACTCCTCGATCACAAGCTTGGGTTGCCTGTGTGCTCTGGATGCTGAATGCTTCGGGCTGGAACATAGAACGAAAGTGTCCTGTTGAAGTCTGCTGCTACTGTGCACACAGCCCTGGCACGGGCAACTGGTTTCTTTCCGGCCTTTGCAAATCCTGTTCTTTGGATAACCTTCCCGTCAGTTTGGATTGCAAATTCCTCTGATGAACCATGTAATACACAACAGAACTACCAACTGGGAGAAGCAGGTGGCTTACCTGCAACAGAGAGCCAGTTTGGTGTAGTGGTGAAGTGTGCGGACTCTAATCTGGGAGACCCGGGTTTGATTCCCCACTCCTCCACTTGCACCTGCCGGATGATCTTGAGCAAGCCATAACTCTGGCACAGCTGTTCTTGAAAAAGAGCAGTTTCTGTCAAGAGTTCTCTCAGCCCGACCTACCTCGCAGGGTGTCTGTTGTGGGGAGGGGAAGGGAAAGGAGTTTGTAAGCCGCTCTGAGACACCTTCTGGTAGTGAAGGGCCATGGGGTATAAATCCAATCTCCTCCTCCTCCTCTTTGAGTGGTCACAAACTCATAGAATCATAGAGTTGGGAACTCCAGGGCCATCTAGTCCAACCCCCTGCACAATGCTCGGAATTCACAGCTACTTCCCCCCTCCACACCCCCAGTGACCCCTGCTCCACGCCCAGAAGATGACAAAAACCCTCCAGGATCCCCGGCCAAACTGGCCTGGAGAAAAACTGCTTCCTGACCCCAAAGTGGCGATCAGCATTTCCCTGGGCGTGTAAGAGAGGGCCAGAAGAACTAAGCACTGAGGCAGCCCTTCCTGCCCTCCCTTCTCATGATCTGCCTAAGTTCACAGAATCCGCATTGCTGTCAGACGGCCATCGAGCCTCTGCTTGAAAACCTCCAGAGAAGGAGAGCCCGCCACCTCCCGAGGAAGCCTGTTCCACTGAACCTCTATCACTGTCAGGAGGTTCTTCCTAATGTTTAGGCGAAAACTCTTTCGATTTGATTTAAACCTGTTGGTTCTGGTCCGAGCTTCTGGGGCAACAGAAAACAACTCCTTACCATCTTAACACTTCCCCTTCCTATCCATTTTCAGCTCGAAAATATTGCCCCCACACTGGTTTTTTCACCTGCTGGCGGAATAACGAAGGGGAAATAGAGGGACTCCATATTATTCCCCCAGTGCGTATGAAGGAAAAAAACCCCAGTTTGGTCAGGGAGATTCTGAGCTGGGGAAATACAAAAGCACTAAGGGTTAGTCTCTCTCTGCGAGCCTTTCTTCCGTGCTTGCAGCTTCGAGTTAAAAAGGCAAACCAGCCACAACATGAGAGAAAGACTCAGGGGTCAGAGGTCCCCAGCCTTTTAGAGCAGGGGGTGTCAAACGTAAGGCCCGGGGGCCGGAATAGGCCCGTCCAGGGCTCCCATGTGGCCGGCAAGCAACTGTTGCAAGGGAGAGAGTACCGGGGGGGGGAGTGGGCAGAGCCACTCCACTGTGGCTTCAGCATGGCAGAAGAACCTCGTCTGCAGCAGTCAAGCAGCGTGGGAGCGTCTGCCCAGTACAGCACCGTGCCTCTCCAGTCCGCCTAATGTGGGTTTTCCTCTGCAACCTCCCCTTCCAGCCCATGGGGCCCTGCAGTGAGGACACACCAACTTGGAGCTTACCAGCTGCTGTCCTTTATACAGTTTCTGTCTCCAGTACCTGGCATTATGTTTTATGGCTCACACATGTCCCGGCCCAACAAAGTGACATTTATGTCAGATCCGGCCCTCGTAACAAATGAGTTTGACACCTCTGTTCCAGAGCCTGCAGGCATCTTTGGAATCTTAACCCGGTGTGGTGGGCGCAGCGGCCACAAAATGGCCACTACAAAATGGCTGCCACAGGAGGTGGAGCTGGCCTGGCTTTACTTCAGTCACACGGTGAAGATTCTTGTGCTGTGTGTGGTGGTGGCAGCTGCTGACAAACAATGTTTAAAAAAAAATCTGCACAGCCAATCCAATCTCCAGTAGCCACTCAAACCCTTGCTGCACAAAAGCCCTACTTGGCCCCACCGACTCCCTGAAAATCAGGGCTATTTTTGGGCAGGAACGCACAGGAACGGAATTCCGGCTGGCTCCGGAGTTGGCCACGCCCAGCAGGAACTCATTAGCATAATAGGCCACACCCAACAGCAGAAACTCATTAGGATTGGCTACATTAGGGGTGTGTGGCCTAACATGCAAAGGAGTTCCTGCTACAAAAAAAGGCCCTGGGTTTTGACAACAAACAAGGTAAACAGAATAAGAAGCAAAAGGTGGGCGTGGCTGGATGAGCACACTTCTGGTAACATGGGGGTGCGGCCTAATGTGCTAATGAGCTGTGCTGTCAGGGGTGTGGCCCAATACGCTAATGAGTTCCTGCTGTTGGGTGTGGCCTATTACACGTTACCAGAAGTGTGGTCATCCAGCCACACCCACCTTTTGCTTCTTATTCTGTTTACTTTGTTGTCAAAACCCAGGGCCTTTTTTTGCAGCAGGAACTCCTTTGCATGTTAGGCCACACACCCCTAATGTAGCCAATCCTAATGAGTTTCTGCTGTTGGGTGTGGCCTATTATGCTAACGAGTTCCTGCTGGGCGTGGCCAACTCAGGAGCCAGTCGGAACTCTGTTCCTGTGTGTTCCTGCCCAAAAATAGCCCTGGACAAGTTCATGGGCTTGTTGCAGAAAAAGGCCATTTTCTCCCCCTTTGGAACAACCACCACCAAACTCAATTAGATGACAGGCCTAGGAGTAAAAGTGTGCAGTAAAAGTGTACATTTGTTACACTTCCATACGTTTGAATCTGGGCTCCTCTGTTGGACTGCTTCTTATTTTATACTTTGGTTTGTACAAAAACGAAGCTTTGGCTCTCGAAAGCGTATCCCCTGAAAATCTTTCTGGTCTCTAGGGTGCTACTGGGTTCGAATCTGGCTCTCCTATTGTGGACAAAACGTGGCTACCTTCTGAAAATAAATCCCACCCACTCAGATTAATTTCAAATTAAGTTAAGAATTACTCAACAAACGTTGCTGTAATTTAAGGAATTATTTGTAACGTGTACCTTAATTTGAGACGCCACAGGACAACTCTGTATAAATGACTTGCTGGGAAGTGCTTTCTTCGTCCAGCTGATAGTAAAACGGGGTGAATGGCTCCTACCACATAACCTTTAGTGTAATAATCCTCTACCTTTTTTGCAATATCCAGCACAGAGCTGATCTTGATAACATCTGGATTCGAGGAACCTAAAAGGGAGTGAAAGTAGAGGACACGTTGACATCAGTTCCTTAGGCACTCCTTTTATATATAAAAATAAGCTCCTCTGTCGCTTACTCAATGGTATAACCACATACGGAAACATTTTATAATGCAAAAAATTTCGTTCAATTTGACAAATGTGTCACTGGAAAATTATTTCTAAAAAGTTGTGGCAATATGTTATAAGCTATATGTTAGAAAAATAAATTATTCCAGACTATCCACAGTATAAAAAATTATGTATTTCTGAGATATACATCTGTATTTAAAGCTGGTTACGTTGCTTTTTGTTAAACTGGGATTATATTTGTATTGGATTAAGCTATGTTATTCATAAATGATGTTGTAACATTTTAAAAATTGTTAATAAAAAAAATAAAAATAAGCTAAGCTGAAACATGCTCGGTACGAGTTGGCTGTAGGCGTCCTGCTAACAGGAAACTTCTTAAAACCACATCGGTGTGTTGCACGTGCCTCTCTATCATGTCCCTGAAGGCCAAGCGACACATAATGTTTTGTAATAAGTCGGGTTTCGGCTTGGAAAATGGTGCAGGGCAAGTAGGATTGCCAATCTCCAGGTGGTAGCTGGAGACACCCCCCCCCCAGAATTACAACTGGTCTCCGGGTTACAAAGATCAGTTCCCCTGGAGAAAATGGCTGCTCTGGAAGGGGGACTCTATGGTATTATACCCCACTGAGGTCCCTCCTGTCCCCAAACCCCGCTCTTCTGAGGCTCCACCCCCCAAATCGCCAGGTATTTCCCAACCCAGAGCTGGCAACCGTAGGGGTGGGGGAGAGAGAGCAGCGCCTCCTTGATCTCATGCTGCGGTCTCGAGCCAAACTGGGCCCCTGCAGGCTTTTGAAATGCCATTCCCTGCAGCTGCTGAGTTGCGGCACGAAACTTGTAGTTTGGCCCTGACACAATCATAAGGGTTAGTGGCCACAGCAAAAACAGGTACAGCTACAAAGTTCTGAAAATTGGAATAGAGGTTATTATGATCCAGGCCAAGTATGTTAGACTACTGCAACGCAATCTGAGTGGGAGTGCCTTTGAGCAGTCCTTGGATTCTCAAAGTACTCCGTCTTTCTGTGTTCTACCTCTGAGGATGCCAGTCACAGCTACTAGCGAAACGTCAGGTCCTACAATGCCAAGACCACGGCCACACAACCCGGAAAATCTACAACAGCTAAAGTCCTTGGATTCGTTAGAGGGTCCAAAAAAGGGCTGCTTCACTACCGACAAGTGTTCTTATTGGCTTCCAGACCAGGTGTGTTTCTAGGCTCAGTTCAAAGTGCTCGCTTTGCGCCATTTCTCCGATTTCCCAGAAGACCACCAGGATCATTCAGTGTCCCTGTGGACTAAAAACTGGAATGGATATATTTGTTGTTATTTTTTTTTAATTTAAATTGTTTTTTTTTTTATTTCTACCCCGCCCTCCCGGGGTTGTTTTTCTTTTATTGCTGCTTTATTGCTGTTTTATTGTTGTAGTTATTGTCATTGCTGCTGCTGACAAAACTAAAGCAAATTTAGAGAAAAATCAACTCTGCACCAAGACAGACAAATATATTGGGCACGTACATGCAAATACTTATTTCATATACATTTTGCCTCTCCTAGGCATGGAATTGGGCAAAGGGCTACACAAAGCACCGAAACCTCGCCTCTTTTTATTCATGGTATTTTGATTCCGTGTTCTCTCCGCTATGGAAGTCAGATAATACTGGCCTGGCCCCACTGGTGGACCTCCTGATGGCACCTGGTATTTCTGGCCCCTTTGTGACAGAGTGTTGGACTGGATGGGCCTTTGGCCTGATCCAACATTGGCGTCTCTTATGTTCTTATGTCTGGGGCTAGCTCAATCCCATCAGCTCTCGGAAGCTAAGCAGGGTTGGCTCTGACTAGTACTTCGATGGGAAGACCTCCAAGGAATACCAGGGCTGTGACACAGAGGCAGGCAATGGCAAACCACCTCTGCATGTCTCTTCCCTTAAAACCAAGTCTAGATCGATACCTAGGGGTGCATAACACTAAAAGAGCAAGAACTTTTGGCTGCCAGACAATCTTAGGATCTCCCGGCTGTACTACACACACTGCCATATGATAATAATAATAATTGTTAATTATTCCTTACCCTTGAGGAAAGCTCTAGAGAGCATTCCTCCATTGGAGGAAAAGGCCACATAAGCTGGAGGAGGGCTTCTTAGAGTGGAAGAAAGATTCCAACTATGCTTAGCGGAGGGTAGGATTGGGTAGAATCCACCCTAGTATATAATACAATGTACTGTGCTTTTGTGTCCTGTTATATCCACGTGGCTGGCGAAGACTCTTGAGAGTCCCTCGGACTGCAGGGAGATCAAATCAGTCAATCCTAAAAGAAATCAACCCTGACTGTTCCCTGGAAGGCCAGAGACTGAAGCTGAAGCTCAAAGACTTTGGCCACCAAATGAGAAGGGAGAAGACCTTGATGCTGGGAAAGACTGAAGGTCAAAGAAGAAGGGGACGGCAAAGGATGAGATGGTTAGACAGTGTAATAGATGCAATGAACATGAAATTGAGCAAACTCCGGAGCACGATGGAAGACAGGAGGGCCTGGCGTGATGTGGTCCATGGGGTCGCAAAGAGTTGGACTCGACTGTGCAACTGAGCAACAGAATATCCACATATATCCCAATTATATATTAACATGAGAATATGCTACAATATAGTAATTTCCTCCCATCACTCATCAAGTTAATGTGAAATCATGTTACCTTCTCACATTAACAGAGATTGGGCATATCACACTATTAAGGTATAGAAGAAACCTCAATGGAACATGAATGTGCAGTATGCTGATCATTCTAATTACAAGCCTGTCCTGTTTTAGTACAGTACTTATATGTAGGCACCACAGTGACACTGTTCTACTCACAGGTGCCAATCCTAGCTTCATGAATTTACTAATGGGCAGACTGCAAGATTTGTTGAGACATCAAACCGATATGAAGGATGAGGTGTACCGCTGGCTGTACTGGCGTGTCACAACTGCAACTGTGTTCTGGAACTTCAGGCTTGTTCGCCCCACAATACACTACCGCAAACATTACAGACTGGAATGTTGCGATGCTAATTGCTATAATCCAATGCAAACTTTCTTGAGAGCAGGACTTAACTTTTGGAACAGATATGCATAAGATCAGTTTGCAAAACAATGGACGGCCTTGTAAGGTCACTGAGATGTACAGATCCTGATAAAACTACCGAAAGACAGCACATTTGAATATGATGGCCAAGTATATTCAAGCGCCTATTCAGTACGGTTTGGGAAACTATTTCGGTTAAGTTATTACAGACGTCAGGTTAGGTCCTATGTACTTTCAGCAGAGGGGAGATTACAGAATGGAACTTGCCCACCACACCCTGCCTCTGAAGACCACTTGACCTTTAAAAAAAAATACTCCCTAGGTGAATCCAACCCTCTGTCTTCTTTATACTATGGCATAGGCGTCTACAATGATATTAAGAAACATTCTGTCTCTTTCCCTTGAGTTGCTAAGCATCTGTTTTAGTGCTTGCAACAACAACAAAAATTCCACCCACCCCCCAGAAATTTTCTCCATCAAAATCCTTTCAGGTGCTTTTACGTACTCTATTGAAAGTTTGCCTCCTTACTTGGTCTTCGATTAGGCCAGGTCTTCGATTAGGAGCCACCACGGACTACATAATTGATAACATCTGAACAGTTAACATCTGAACTGTTAAGGCCCTCTTTGTTAACCTGAATAACAACAGCCAGCGTAATTCGACCCTATGGGACGCTACTGTCATCAGCATTTTATGTTTTTATCTTTCTATATGTATTTATGATTGCCACTTGTTGCATACTACGTTATTGCATTGTTTCAATGCATCTGTGTTTTAACGTACTTTAACCTACCGTAAGCCACCCTGAGCCTGCTACGCAAGGAGGACAGGATATAAATCAAATAAATAAACAGCCAAACGAAAAGCAATGCAATTAAATTCAGTTGCACGGATGGCAAGTCCTAGCTCAGGCACATACTGTCTGCGTGCGCATTTGGCAACCCAGCCTGAGATCTGATAGGATGTTGCTGCTACCACTTCACACAGAGATGTTTTGCTTGGTCCACAAAAGAAATAAATGAACTCACAGAATGATAAGCTGTATAAGTGGGTACCAATGCTCCCTCTAAGCTGTGGAGTCTTGTGAGCAAAAATTTCACTTTGTGAGCTGCTGGCATTAAAGTTGTGAGCGAGCCATTTGGCTGCTGCATACATTAGTTTGCTCTGGAGCCCCATCCTTCATGACCTAAGACAAAATTAAATATGATTAAATATGTGAACCGCTTCAGAGCCCTCAGGGGGTGAGTGGTATACAAATGGAAGGATAAATAAATAAATAAAAATAAATAAAATCTGTGAGCTGGAGGCTAAAAAACTGTGAGCTGGCTCACTCTAACTCAGCTTAGAGGGAACACTGGTGGGTACCGCATTCAAAGGCAGCATTCAGTACCCTGCACATTAAAAAGTCATTTGTGCACACAGATTCTGATGGTAATAGAGATTCATATTATCTGTCCCCCGAAACAACACGTTTTGGAATTCATTTTTAGTAGCAGCTACCTCAATGAATTGATGTACAGTTCTATTCCGAGAAGTTTTAGTGAAGCTTGCATTACGAAATGTCCCAGTCCCTGAAGCACCTAAGGCAGAACAGAGCTGTGTCATCCCTGTGGGAAGAAATCTCGGGTGGTTTGTGTTTTTGACATTTTGGAACAGGGAGTCGCTTGCTTGGAAACAAGACACTGCCGAAGAATGAAGTTGCTCCACAGGACACGGCCTCCCCCTCTAACTGTACCAATTTCAGTATTACTTCCAGGAATAATGTTAGAAAGCTATTGAATAAAGATTACAAGCCGAAAAGGTAGTTTCGAACTGACCTCTTCAGAAAACTTTTTGAAGGGTTGTTATTCGGTCTGCTCTCCCTTTAGCTGTCTCCAAAAGTTTGTGCTTCTTCACGGAGGCACTGACTTGTCCATGTTTATATGCGCAGAGCGCGCACACAACTACCGTATTCAGACAGAGTCATGACTAACCTATTTCTAAACTGATGTATTATAATTGATTCCCCCCATATTTAATCATAAGAGACACAATGAACAAGAAAGCCTTCCTTCCCCGTAAACTTTCACAGATTTTTGACACAGTCGAGACGTACCTTCCAATGTAAAATCTAGCAATATGTACTCGTAAGCACAGTCTGTCTTTGTTTCTACTTGAGGTCTCTTCAGTGTTGAAAATATCTTTCCCGGGCTGCTGTCATCCGGATCTTCGAGTTTCCTTAGTCCGCACCCCATGGCAAAGTCTGCAAAAAAAAAGAGGAGTAAAGGTGCAGAAACAGGGGCGAGAGGCAGGAATGGAGAGTGCTGGAAAATCCTCTTTCTCCGGCTGGAGAAAAATGTTACCAAAAATCTGTTTTAGATTTTGTTTGCTTTCAGCCATAAAGCCGAAGGGGGGGGAACGACATTTAGCCCCCGAATTAGAAAATGAGGGGATCTCCTATCCATTTTATATCCCGGCCCAGAGAGTGAATCCAGGCTCCCAACTCAACGAGCGTGGTGCTTCTTTAACAGGAACGTAGCAAGAGCTACAAACTTAGCTGAGATTTTCCATGCCACGTCAATTCACAGCCGGCCCCCTGAGCAGTGTTCTGTTGCAAAGGGCACCAATGAGGGCTTTGTCTGTTCCTCTTGCCTGAGCAACCGTGATGTAAGAAAAGAACTGAAATAAAAAGTTACCGCAAAGAGAAAAAAACTTCAGTCCAATTACTTACAGTCAGAAGGCCAGTGCCGGCGCGGTTGCAAAGAAAGGGAGGGAAAGATAAGAAGAAGTTAGTCCAAGAATGGGAATAGAGAGCCTCTCGACATGGGTTTGAGACAAAAAAAAAAAAAAACATTTCCAGAAAGGAAGTCAACTTCGAGAGGAAATTGCTTCTGGCATCTCAAAGGGGAGCAAAGTAAATGAAAAGCAGTTTGGAGTCTATTTTGAATGTGAGGGGTATGGCTCCGACTTCCTTTGCAGGAGACAGCTGGGAAATTGCACAGCTCTGGAGCAGCGAGGGAACTTTTTTTGGCTAGAAAACCGTATTTGGCAAAGACAACTTAATCGGCATAAACAAACGCTTCCCTGCTCTTGATAGCTTGTATTTGAAAATAATGAGACATACTTCGTGGCAAACCAGAGCGAAGAATCTGATTCAAATAATCTCTCTCCTCCTCCTCCTCCTTTTTCTTCTGTTCTCTAAACTGCACTTAAAGCAGTTCTTAAAACTTCTGCTTGGGGGTTTGCGATGATGATCAAAGCAGTGGACTTTCAACTATTGACTTCTCTATTTCTTCAGTACGTGCAATCAAAGTAAGTCACGGTGTTATCAACAGCTTTCAACTCCAAAGCAAGATGCTGCATTACCCGAGGCCCTCTACATTGGTAGCTGGAACTGACCTCACGTCTACAAACAAATCTGCTGCTATTACCGTGTTTCCCCGAAAATAAGACACTGTCTTATATTTATTTTTTCTCAAGAAGACACACTAGGGCTTATACCACAAATGCATAGAAATCCTGCTAGGGCTTATTTTTGGGGTAGGTCTTATTTTCAGGGAAACAGGGTACCTTAACGCTGACTGATCCAAAAGTGGAATCTTTATTCAGCTTTAAAGCATGACAAAATATATTTATGGATTGCCAAATGTTTGGCTGTTTCCACTGGGCAGCCAATCACTTCTTCTGAACCAAGTTCCAAAAGCAGTTTGCCATTTAGCATAGGGATAGCTAAATCTCCAGTAGGTGTGCAAAACTGTTTGCATGGTCCTTTGGATGCTGGTTGTTCCGTCAAATCGACACCTTAGCACAGAGTTCCCCAACGTGGGACCCATGGGCCACTTCTTCCCTGAGCTTTTCAAAAAGTGGGTTATAGAATCATAGAGTTGGAAGGGACCTCCAGGGTCATCTAGTCCAATCCCCTGCACCAGGCAGGAAATTCACAAATACCTCCCCCCTCCACACCCGCAGTTCCATGCCCAGATGATGACAAAAAACCTCCAGGATTCCCGGCCAAACTGGCCTGGAGAAAAATTGCTTCCTGACCCCAAAGTGGCACTCAGCATTTCCCTGGGCGTGTAAGAAAGGGCCACTGCAAGTTGGTGGGACCATTGTTATTGGCGGCCCTCATTCAAAGGAAAGTATTTTCCACGGTTGCAACAGCAGCCATCTTAGGCTTGGCTCCACCTCCTGTGGCGGCCATTTTAGGGTGGCGCTCACCCTCCTCTCTTGAAGTTCCAGAGGTGCCCACTGGCTCTAAAAGGTTGTTTAACATTTAGCGTCCCTTCAGTTGACCATCACCCGGGAGTGAATTATGCTGATCATTATATAAAAAAAATTAACTTGGGTCTCTGTTAATTACAAAGGGGGGGGGGAAGACTGAAGGTCAGAACCATGCAAAATTTTATAAGGGTCATTTTTGAAAACAGGGTAGATTAAATCTTGCAAACTAAAAAGGCTGATTAAAACCAAGGTTTCCCATGCATTGTTTAAACACCTTGGTGTCTAGTCATGCCGGCCACATGATCACAGAAATGTCTTCGGACAGCGCTGGCTCTTCGGCTTTGAAACGGAGATGAGCACCGCAACCAATGTTCCCTCTAAGCTGTGGAGTCTTGTGAGCAAAATTCTACTTTGTGAGCTACTGGCATTAAAGTTGTGAGCAAGTGAATTCACTACTGCATAACTTAGTTTGCTCTGGCGCCCTCCTTCCTGAGTTAAGGCAAAAATCTGTGAGCCAGAAACTAAAAAACTGTGAGCTAACTCACACTAACTCAGCTTAGAGGGAACACTGACCGCAACCCTAGAGTCGGATTCGACTTTGCCTTTTAAAACTGAACTCCCTGACCCGGATAGCCCAATCTCATGAGATTTTGGAAGCTAAGCAGGGTCGGCCCTGGTTATTACCTGGACGGGAGACCACCGAGGAAGCCCAGGGTTGCTACGCAGAGGCAGGCAATGGCAAATCCACCTCTGTTTGCCTCTTGCCTTGAAAACCCCACAGGGTCGCCTTAAACTGACTGCAACCTGACGGTCCCTTACACCCACACGAACCAAAATAAACAGTAACTGGTTGTTATGATCATGAAAACATATTAATTTGCAATGAGTAAAATAGTTAATGCTACCTCAGAGAGTGATTTGTTTCTTGAATATTTAACTTAATTTTGTATTGTTTTAGAAAACAATCCACTACATGGCTCATTTTTAGATAACTTAGTACTAATAATTCCAGATACAGTCTCTTTTACAACCGAGAACTATGACAGGTATTTAGGGGCTGATTAGAATCAACACCAGGCACTTCCTTCCCAATGTTCCTTCCCGCTTTATTAGTCCGCCCATTTCTCTTCCCTACTAAAACTTACCAAAAAAGCACGTAATCTCAATCAGAAGCAAGGGTTAGTTCCTTGGTAGATTAATAAAGGTAAAGGTTCCCTTGCTCGAAAGCCAATTGAGTCCGACTCTAGGGTTGCGGTGCTCATCTCCGTTTCAAAGCCGAAGAGCCAGCGCTGTCCGAAGACGTTTCCATGGTCATGTGGCCGGCATGACTAAACACCAAGGCGCACGGAACGCTGTTCCCTTCCCACCGAAGTGGTACCTATTTATCTACTTGCAATTTCTTGCTTTCGAACTGCTAGGTTGGCAGGAGCTGGAACGAGAGACAGGAGCTCACTCCGTTATGCGGCAACTCAGGTCTCGAACTGCTGAACTACCGACCTTCCACAGCCTGCAGTTCAGCGTCTTAACCACTTGAGCCAACGTCCATGTTCTTTGATTGATACTGATACTCGTTGAGGAAAAAAAAAAACTCTGTGAAAAGTTACCAAGTAAATAGAAAAGAGTATAGAAACAGCCAGCACGGTGTAGTGGTTAGTGGGGAATCCGGGTTTTGGGAGATTCATTTTCAGATCCCCACTTTGCCATGGAAGCTTTGCTGGGTGACTGTGGGCCAGATGCACACTCTCAGCCTCACCTGCCTCACAGGGTTGTTGTGAAGATATCATAGAGAAGAGGAAAGGATGGAAGTTGCTTTGGGTCCCTACTGGAGAAAAAGGCCTTTCCCCCCAGTGGGGGCCCAAAGCGACTTCCATCTTTCCCCCTTCTCTCGTATGTCTTCGCAACGTGAAATAAATGAAGTCAATAAATGAAGTCAACAATAATAAATATCTGAATATCTGAAGACGTGAGCAGTGACTCACGAAAGCTCATCCCCTGCCACAAATTTTGTTCGTCTTTAAGTTGCTACTGGACTCTGGCTCTTTTCTACCAATAAATAAAAATGAGAATTATGATAATGATTGAAATAGTGATAATATATGAAATAATAAATAATCCTGTATGAAGTAAATAATAAATAATCAATTCAATAATAATAGTTCAATAATTAATAATCAACGAATGAAAAAGGTTAACGCTGGTATTAACAAACTGTAAAGTTATGAGGTAAACGTGAGGTAATTTTAGTCCCGCGAGGGAAGTGAAGCTGTAATGGACGCAGGCCTCTTGGCAGCTCGCCAAGCTGTGGAGCCGATTTCTAATTACTGGTGCCAAGAGAGCGGCTGCCTCTTCTGAGATTTTCAGTCCGCTTCTGTCATGTTTATATGGGACAGATACTCAACATGTGTCACTTCCGGCCGGTCAAGCTTATGATTGGCGAGTTAGTGGGCGATTTAATCACTTCCACTGGTAGAACCAATGAGATGGGCTGAGCCATACCGATCTTTAATTGGCTTGCAGGGTCTGGTGGGGAAGAATAAAAAGGCCTGTTTCGGCCTCCTTAGAGGGAGTCTAAGAACCAGGGGTCATTTTGTAGAAAAAGACGTGCAGGAGCTCATTAGCATAACTTATTTGCATATGCCACACCCCCTGACATCACCGGAAGTGTGTCAGAAGGCAACACCCACCGCTCAGGCTCCACTGGACTGTTTTGGATTGCTAGCTATTGGGGGGGGGGACATGCAGATTTGTCTTCACAGAGGAGGGAGAGCTTGTACCTGAATAAAACTTGGTATTAAAGGTGCCACTGGACTGTTTTGGGCCCAGGGGGGCTCTGCAGCTTACCTGGCTGCTTCTTGCTCTGACTGAGGGCTGCTGGGAGCAGGGGGTGGGGCTTGTTGCATGTGCCCGCCCCCTGGGCTCTTTACTGCCGGAGCTCCACTCCTGTGCGCTCCTGCAGGAAATGACCCCTGCTAAGAACAGACGGCGGGGTCAGCTGGTGAGAGCTAGGAAGGTCGAAGCGGGATGATTCAGCAGCTACCGATGAAGGCGACAGAAGCAAGAGCTGAAGAAAAGGAGAGCAGACCAGAGCTGTCTGAAGGAAGAGGAGCCTCGCGAGGGGCTCAGCTGAGGAAGAGGCGGAGAAAGGCCTTGGCGTCTTTATTCCGGCATCTTCAGTGAACGATCCTGAGCAGGGGGCGGGATCGCTCGCTTTGGAAGAGTACCGGTGTCTTCAAGATACAAAACATGAAGAAAGTGACCAGAAGGGAGTCTTCAGGGCTGGATAAGCAAGGCTCTGACCATTTCCGCAGTAGTGAAATTCCCCGCAATGACGTTTTTAAAACTGTGTCTTATCATTTTCTGCAGTACATTTTTCCTCCCCAGGCAC